AAGTTAAGCAAACCAATCCAGTAACTTATTTGTTGGAAGATTCACGAAAAGAAGAAATTCAAGGTGCTTTTTACAGCGAAGAATTACAAAAAACCCGGTTTCCTGATATTTATTTAGTGGAGAAGGTGTTAAGAAGGAAAGGCAACAAGGTATATGTAAAATGGTTGGGAATGGATAGCACACATAATTCATGGATTCATAAAACTAATGTAGTAAATTAAGTTTTGTAATAAAATATTAATAAAACAGTTTTTTATAAATGTGTTTAATTTTTACATTTAATATACAATACAAATTATGTAATTTTTCCTACAAAAATACAAATTTTATTTTAAAATAATTTTATTTTTATACTTTTCTTGAAAGATAGGATTCATACTTTTAGCAAATTCTTCTATTCTACGATGAAATCTAGCTCTATCAGAAGCAAAGAATTCCCAATATTTAGTTCTGCATGGACAATTGACTTCAACGTAGTGGATACGGACATTTTCGTTAAATTTGACCATTTAATACACCCGGATACCTATAAAGTAACTCCATAGCCAGACCATAAGTCGTCTTATTTATGTTTTTTATTGGCTCCATAATTTTAAGTCCAGATTCAATTGGGTCCGTAAGATCAATACCCAACTTTAAGATTTTTAGAGAATTGGTAAATTCTTCTTTTTTCAGAATTTCTAAATGATAATTAATAAGCGGTAGTATTTTCCATATTGACGCGATTGAATTAGCACCCAAAATAATCTGTGATTTACCTTTGGTGATTTTTACAACTAACATGCATGGAAGCTGCATGAATTCTATCAGAAAATTTTCATCTTTAATTGGTTGTTGATGATTTCCAGCCATAAAACTATCAATCACATTTTTATGAGATAAAAAGTTGATCCAATCCGTTTGACTGAATAATACACAATCATGTTTATATCCACTGATAATAACGCTTGGTTCAAAGTTGAATTCGTGTGCCAAACAAGTTGATATATATTTTGTATTTGATGGATTTAGAAAAAATTGACGTTCACCCAACAACACGTTAGACATCTGTACATTAGCACTCATTGTTTAAGACTAAATAACATGCATGATTCAAAGTTTTTTATACCTAATTTTTATCCCCACTCTTAAATTACTCATGTCATGTCGAAACATGTCCTTAATTGAAGTTGCTGCATAAAATACGTCCGGTGTAAGCACCAAATGTCAGGTGCAATATTTAATAAATTCCATATATGCACAAAACGACAGGTACAACATTTAATAGGACACTATATGCACAAAACAACATACGCCCGCAGGTGTTTGCTCCCGACTGCTCTCATACCAACCCATATCCAATATTCTCTCATATGCTACAAATGGACAGCTGCAACAAACAGGTTTGCTTGTATCCCGACTGCTCTCATGCCAACCCCATATCCGATATTCTCTCATGTGCTACAAATCGACAGGTGCAACAAACTGGTTTTACAAATCAACAGGTTTTAAAAATCGACAGGTGCAATAAACCGGTTTGCTTGTATCCGGACTGCTCTCATGCCAACCCCATATCCGATATCCTCCCATTTCCTATCTACTGAACTGAGAGCCTTTAGAGCCGCTTGACTATCCGAATAGATAACGATGGAGTCGTTATCTACATTTCGGCCGATTAGTTCCATAGCGCACCTGTGTATAGCAGCTAATTCGAGCTAAAGTGGAGGTAAAAGTGGTAAACATTTTTGCATCTTTTTTTAAGGTCTCAGAATGAATATTCTTTGCAAAATTCAGCTTTTTCTTATGATTTTTAGGGGTCAACTCTTTGACGACTTCACTAATATTTGAATTGCCAAAATTTTTATCTTGTGATTTAAATGTATATTTAAAAAACAGTATAGTTGATTAGAAAATGTATTCAGTTGAGAAGAAATTAGCAATAATAAAAATGTTTTATTCATTCGAATAGTGTACGAATTGTCAGTTATTTATTTAGGGTAAGATATCCTTATAGTCATTCAACAATTTAAAGGATTTTACAAAATTTTGAAAATATTGGAACCGTGATTTCTAATTGTTTTCATACAAACAATACTGGTGAGGTACCAAGAAATTTAGAAAATTAAAAATAAAAAAAATTTGTTAACAGGAGTTGTAGAAAATCCTAGAATAAGTTCTCGGATCATTGTAGGCCAGTTTCATTTTCATAACTCCCCGGCCTTAAAAATTTTAAAAATGAATCAATTTCGTTTATATAAATTTCAATATCACCAAGAAATAAAAAAAAGGAATGCTGAGCGATGTGCGGAATTTTTTTATGAAATTATAGAGAGGGCTAATGCAGGCAGACAATTTTTAAAAAACATTTTGTTTTGTGATGAATATATATTTGCATTAATTATTGTACCAAATGTTTAAAACTACAGGATTTGGTATACAAGAAAGTCTGAGGATATTATTGAAACCCATACCTAATATCGACAAAAAATAAATGTCTGGTTAGGAATAGTTAGACACTTTAGACAATATTGGACCATTTTGCTATAAGGAAAATTTAAAATAAAAAAAGTTTTCAGACTGGCTATAAGGGGAGATTTTACACAGACTTGCAGATATAGCTCCAGATAAAGAATAAATTTGGTTTCAAAAGGATGGATGCCCTGTGCAAAATAACTGGAAGGTTAAATAATTCCTAAAAAATAAAATAAAAAAACAGCTTTAATAATTATTTGATTGGACCTGAATTACTTATAAAGAGGAAGAAGAAGAAGAAGAAGAAGAATATTTTATTCAAAAGTTCTACGGGTCATAACAAATGCACGATGTTATTTACCTAATAAGTTCATTACGCATAACCTTTAAATCAGCACTGTTAAATAATAGATCACGAATTGCTTCAAGAAATTATGTTCTGCTTCTTGAGAACCATTATTACAATCTTACCAATGAAAACATAATGAGAACTTGTCATGAGACAACTTCATGCATGTTACTTGTAAAATATTTACATAATTTACTTATTGTAATATTAGTACAGATTTTATATGAAGGAAAAATTAGAAAAAGAGACCTAATTATAATTAACCTTCTAAGAATTTGACAAACTGGAGGGAACCCCAAATTCTTAATAAAAAAAATCTTCGCCAACTTGCAGAAACTGTTCCCTTCCGTTGACAGTGAAGTATATTCTAATTGATTGCCAATACTACGAACAAAAAAGAAAATGGTGAATATCATATTACAGCACTACCACATTGACTACAAAAACCGAACATGTATTAGATTATTTAAATAATTTATGTTTATACACATTGTAGCGTTGTAAATGTTCATATTTTTGTAATATGCCCTTGGTTGTGTATACCAAGAAATGTTTGTTTTGTATTTTACGAAAGTTGAGAATCTTAAATGCGTTATAACGCTGGAAATATTTTTTTGTCTCTGTTACATTGTCAGGTTAAAATTAGGGTCGCTAAAATAACAATAATACGTGTATTTCTACTGATTCAAATTAAATATACATGAGTCTCCCTAATATTCCGGCTGAAAAAAAGTTGTTTTTGTCGTTTAGAACAAGGGTCAAGAAGGATATTGTTTGTTTAGCTTCGGAGACGCAAGAGGTAAATTTATTTGGCGTCGAATTTGTATAATTTAACGCAGATAGAAAGTAGAACAAAAGATTTGAAACTAGGTAGACGTGTTTGCGGACTAGAGGTCAAGCCCGATCAACGTTTTACGATGTAGAATGTTGGGGCAATTTTGAATCAAAAAGTTGATTCAATTTTTTTTGTGATGTCTTAAGACCAGTCAAAGTGATAATACTCTTTTGCATAAGCAGTTTTGACAGAATAGTCATTAGAAGATTTGTATAGATACCGGAAACTTTTGAAAAGTATTGTATTGGATGTCCCCGTCGTTAGCTCCTTATTAGAGGAATCACCTCCACAAAACCTACTTTGATCGTCGTTGCTGAGTATGGTTTCCTGTTTTTCAGTTTGAGAATTTGTCCAAGTAGCTTGCCCCAGAGATGTAGCAAGTTTTTTCTTTTTAAAAGTTAAGTGGCGAAATATGTGAAAAATAAGGTAACAATTCAATATATTATATTTTCCAAGTAAAATAGACATTTTTAATAATTGCTCCTTCATTAAAATAACAGGATTTTTTAATAAAAAAAAATTTTAATATTATGTTATGAGTCGAAGCTAAAAAATGTCATATTTTATTCCGATTTAAAATATTATGTTGACATAATATGAGATTTGCTCTAATCCATTGTTGTTGTAAAACAATTTAAATTTGATTATTATATATAAAGATATTTCATATATAAGGTTAAATTCTACAGCATTTTCATAAAAAGGATATCCATAAGTTTTTAGATAATCTAATTTGGCCATATTATAACCTAGGAACCATTTCAAAAATTTTTGTAGCAATCTCTTTTGTAAACAAGTAACACGTAAGTTTTTGTTAATTTGTATTATGTTATATAGTATGTTTCGTGTGTAATCTGTATTTTTGATAACTGTTTGTTTGAGACAAAAATAAACGTTTGATTTGTTTCTCTGATCCATTTGGTGATTTAATTTAGAAAAGTCTCCTAATCCTTGTATGTATTTTTGATTGTAGGGAAGAAGAATTTTTCTTTTTCCAGCAGGAAGTTTTCTTCAAAGCTGCGTCCAAAAAGAAAATAGCTAGAGGTAAACCTTATCTGCCATAGCTTATTTCGTTTTTTTGGCCCAGAAGATTTATGTATGTATCCCTTTGTTTTCATTTTGTAGATACCCCAATCTGACCCATTTTATTTCAACTTATCCACGACCCAGCTCTCCAACGACCCTCTGGGTGCCGTACGCACTAGTTTTCTATCCCATGTCTTAATCTTCTACCCCATGTTCTTACCCTGAGGTAAGCAAAATATTTTGTTACAACATTAATTTAATATAAATAAACTGAACCTGTGTGTATGTTACTCCACTCCTACGTCTTTGATGGTTTTTAAATAATAAAAAAATTTTTAGGAGTATGCCCTAAACTTTCATTACCGACCGGAACACAAACACTTTGTAAAAACTACAATGATCAATATATAGACTGTGCAGATCTTGCTGATGGTAGTAGTATAACGTTTACATGTCCAAACGGTTTTGTATCAGACAGAGGCACATCCACCAGTACAAGGTAAATATAAGTTATTGTTATAAAAATATATATGTTGATAGTTTGTAAAGGTAATGGATTTTGACAAGAGCTGTAACCTTGTAAATAACACGTAAACTTGTGTACTAAATCGGCATGACTTATAGCTCTTGTTAAAATCCATTACCTCTACACTTGCATTCTTTCGTTCTTAACTAAAACGTGGTATGTACAGCCAAATTAAAACAGAGAAATCGACAATCAAAGTTTTTGCCAAGGCCCTACATGTTTTGATAATTTTTTAACGCAAAACGTATTGTAATGATAGTTAAACTTAAAAATAAATATAAAAAATTATGTTTTTATTATTCCCGTAAATAAAAAGTCATATACCACGTTTTAATTCAGCAGCGGACATATTATTACTGTGTCAGAAATAGTGGCGTATCTACATTTTATTTACAAAAAGGGTTTTTACAAGCAAGTACAGTTTCAAAAAAAAAAAATTAATAAATAGCTTATAATTGTTTATTATACAGTGTGTTCATAAAGTGTGAAAACGGTTAATTATCTCATAACTTAATTATTTTCAGAGTTAAAGCTCTGACAGGTCGCTTTTTATTTTTATTTTTTAACCTTTTTCGAAACAAAAATAACTTTTACCCCTACTATCTTAGGAGATAGGTGACGTTATCAATATTTTTTTTTTTTAATAGAAAGGGCATATTTTTAGAACCATTCCAACTCATCACATTCAATCTTTAGTATACAGAGTGTAAAGTAAATTAGTACTTGTATTCCTTAAAATTTAATTCAGAATTTATTTTAAAAAGAATATTATTAAAGAAGTCACTTCATATTAAAGATAAATAAATAACATAATTACAACAAATGCTCGAATGGAGTGGCCTATTGTTTAACGATACAGAAGGTAGATTGTTTATTAATTAAAGATAACCAGTTCCATTCCAATGATAATGACTTTTTAATGGGCTATAGATCAACAATAAAATAAAATAATGTGGTATCGACTGTACTCAGAATATTGCCAAAAATCAAGTAGGCTGTAAAGACATGTCAAATTCCTTAGCAACCTGACAGTAAGTTCGTAGTTACCATTGGATATGTCAATATATGCCAGGGAAATATGCAAAAAAGTACCCTCTTTTTGACACTTGTCCGGCCAGGCAAACGACAATTGTTTTGAGTAGTATGGACCTCTGTAACAAAAACCTATATGTTTCCTGCAGTCGATTTTTTGGACTTAATTAGTTATTAACAAATTAAGGTCAAAAAATGGAAATTTTTTGCTTTTGTCGTCTATCGGCAAAAAGTGAAGCAATTTAAACAAATTTTAGAAGAGAAGAAACTTATAAGTTATATAAAAACCTTCAAAATGGGGTTTTCTACATGTTTCTATCCTTATTTGTTACTTAGGAAGTTGCAAAATAAGTCAAATATTTCGGTTTTTTATAAATATTAGTAATTTTTTTGAAAATAAACTTATAATATTTACATTTCACGGAATGCTGTGTCTTGTAGTGCTTAAAATAGGGTCAAAATTTCAATGTCATCGGTCCAATAATTTAAAAAGCGGTAGTGTGCTTGCCTCGCATGCCGGTGGTCGTGAGTTCGAATCCTACCGCCGGCAAGAACAACTAGGCATTTTTAAAATGTCTATAGGCCCCAGGTCGACTCAGCCTGAATAAAATGAGTACCTTGGGTAAAACCAGGGGTAATAATAGGCGGTTGAAGCGTAGCACTGGCCATGTTACCTTCCTTGTATACCGTAGGCCCTAGATATAGCAGACTACCCTGCTATACTCCCAAAGCCGCGTGCGGTATAAAACGGGAGACTATTATTATTATTATTTGTTTATCCCAAATTAACATTTTTTGCAACAATATAAGTCAGAAAATTATACAATTTTAGTAATCGTAATGGTAGTTTATGGTAGAAGAAGACTTGTTTTATTATTTACATTAAAAAAAAATAAGAAAATTAATGCTAAATATTGCAAAATAATTTTGTAAAAACATCTAGATGTTTTGCATATAAACAATTAGAAGACCTTTTTAACCATTGACTGTAAGAATATTATTTTTATATATTTAAAAAGCCTGGATTTTTTTACAAATGCAATTAAAAAAAACTTTGTCCTAAAATAATTTGGTACAAAGTTAGCCTGTTTTTTTATTTAATTAATAGCACCTTTGATTATTACACATAAGAAATATAATTAGCGGTATTTAAAAGAATATACTTTATAGTTTTAAATTACTAGATTTTAAAAATATTGCCCTTTAATGGAATCGTCACCAAAGCTTCAAAATGTATGTAAAATCGGTGGGCTTTAAAACTCACGGGAACTGAAGGGAGGGGGAAGGCGCTATTAACTGTATCTCTGTTCCTTTTTTATGTATTTCAACGTTTCTTTTTGAACTTGTATCTACTTTTTGCGTACATTACGAATATGCATTATTTCAATAAATAAATTGTCAAATAAACTACCTAATGTGTTAAGTAGTATTTAAGTTAAGTTTGAATGTAAAACAGAAGTATTTGTCATTTCGTATATTTTGGGGAATAAGTCACAATTTAAGTTTATAATAAGTTTATTTTTGACGTTTCGATTTCTACTTCGAAAATCTTTCTCAGAATACAGAACATTAATAAAGTAATCAAATTTTGTTTTTAGTTACTTGGTAGAAAATTTTTCTGATAAATCTTCTGGGTGATTGATTAGTGTGAGAAAGCTCAGTAGATCTGTTATAGTAAAAATTACAAAAAAGTTTTGAACAAAAATTGTAGCAGCTTTAACCTCCACATTTTAAAATTCGTTACAATCTTACAGGGTGTCCTATATGGTGGTAGTAGACTAAACTTATGTTTTTTAAATGAAACACCTTGTATTTTATTTTAAATTTGAAATCTGCTTTACTTCCACATCACCACAATGTAACGTTTTATTATCCTATACCGGATATTTAAAAAGTTATAAACAATATTACCTGAAAATCGGATCAAGTTTAACTCCCTGTATAAGTAAAAATGAGTATAGCACCATTGATCTATTGCAACCATAGTTTTTTAATAATTGTTAAAAATTATAAAACATATTCGTTTTCTTAATATTCGTTAAATCAAATACAGCGTAAGTCAAAATGCAAGTAAATTATTTTCATGGTAATTATAAATAGAACACCCTGTATTTTATATCACTATCGAAAAGTACTAGTTTTGTACTTCAAATTTTATAAAGTACTCCCTATACATTAAGTTATCAGTTTTCTAGATATTTTTATTTTTCCATCAAAGTATTAATTTGGTAGATATTTTATTAGTATGATTGATTTGTCAGATTTATTTGTCAGAAACTGACCGTTTGACATTATGGTTTATTAATTCATTATTGGGGTATATCGTAACTTAGCAACAATTATTAGTTAGCAAATCAGTAATTAATTCAAGTTATATAAGTAATAATGAAATTTACTACTGATGAAATGATAGATAAATATGATCTGGATATTGGGGGAATGCAGTAAAAATTCATTACTATCAGCTAGAATTTATCCAGAACGGTTTCCAGATAGACGGCAACCTAGACAAGATAGATTTTTGAAAAATTGAAAGATCGATTCAACCGCACTGGTTCAGTTAATTATGAAAAACATGAACGAACAAAAACTAGTGTGACAGAGAAAAATGAAATGAGTGTGTTGATGGCAGTTACAGAAAACCCACACAGAAGTATAAGGATTATTTCCAATAAACAAGAACTTAGTTACTACTCTGTTCAAAACATTGTATCTAAAAACAAGATGCACCCATATCATACTCAAAAGCACCAAGAATTAAATAATGATGATTTTCAGAAACGAATAGTATTTTGTGAATGGGCCTTAAAAATATTAATGAACAGAGAATTTTTTTTGATCATATCCTATTTGGTGATGAAGCTGCATTCCATCAAAACGGTTCTGTTAATAGGCATAACTTTCACTACTATTCAACAAGAAATCCATACCAAATAGTAACACAGTCAAACAAGATAATCTTTAAATATGTGGGGAGGTATCGTCGGTAACCATGTAGTAGGACCATATTTGTTTAAATATAACTTAATTGGTGAGATTTATTTAGATTTTATCGTACATCAGTTACCGATATTATTGGAAGAGGTTCCACTTAATATACGTGAACAAATGTGGTTTCTACATGACGATGCTTCTGCGTACCACAACGAATTAGTACGTGGTAAACTTATTGATCAGTTTGGTAAAAAATGGATCGTAAGGGGTGGCCCAAGGTCACCAGAATTCAATAAAATGGACTCATTTTTTGGGGTTACGTTATAACGAAGTATATAAAATACCTCCGACAACAAGGTACTTATATGAAAAATAGAATCCGAATTGCATTTCAAAATATTTCTTTACAAATGCTTAGTAATGTAAGTAACTCTTTCAATGACCGCTTTCAAGTAAGCATAGAATTTTTTTTGAGCTCATTTTGAACACCTTTTTTAAGTATTAAAATTACCGTTGTTTTTTATTTTTCTATGTGTTTTTCTGTTTTTATTTTCTGTTGATTATTTTTTAAAAATTTTATTTGAAATAAATTGTTTTCTTTTCCGTGTCGTTATTTCGTTACTAAATTAAAAAACAATAATGTCAAACTGTCAGTTTCTGACAAATCAATCATGACCAACTCACAATAATTATTGGTAAAAGTTAAAATATCTACCAAATTAATACTTATCTAGAAAACTAATAACTTTAGATATAGGGAGTACTCCATAAAATGTGAAGTACGATAATAGTACTTTTCGATAGTGACAAAATACAGGGCGTTCTATTTAAAATTATCAAGAAAATTCTTAAATAAGTACTTGCATTTTGACTTACCCTGCATTTGATTTAACGAATATTATGAAAACGAATGTGTTTTAGAATTCTTAACAATTATAAAAAAACTATGGTTGCAATAGATCAATGGTCCTATAATCATTTTGAATTATACAGGGAGTTAAAGTTGA